TGCTCCAACGTATAAGTATAGCACCTTTTTTGTAATTTATCTACTTGGTAAATATATAAATCACTTTTTGTTTTTCGAAATAGCATTAAAAATAAAAAGATTTAACCGGGAAAAAAATGTTTTCATTTTAAATAAGTACCTCGTAAAACTCGTAAAACTCGTTTTCTAGCACAAATATAGTTCCAATTGAAAAACGACAATAGACCTTTTTTGGTCTATTTTCCAGAACTTTTAACCTTATTTTTAATGATGCATGACGTTTTTTGATTTTCGAACTAGTTTTCATAATAAGAGGGAAAAAACGTAAGAAAACGTACAATTTCAAGATATCATTATTTTAAATTAATACGGAGAACGTTTGTTATTCGTATAAATTGTCGAGCTAAGGTGGTGTGGAAAATTGTACAAAATTGTATTTATTATAAAACCATCAGAAGTATAAAAAAAGGTTGATACTGTTCAAGGAGAAAAGTTTTAAGGGATGATATATCATAGTGTCTTATTCTCCTTAACAACATGAAACCATATTTTTGTTGAATTTTGTTTTTTTAATAAGCATTTTGAAATCAAATTTTAACCCAAAATCACAAAAAAAAAATGTTGGGAAATTTTAAATCGTACTATGGTGACTCCTAAATATGCCCACTCACTCCGACCTCTACTACTACCACATGAACCACCCATACTATAGTAGTAAAATGATCACGTTAATTTTGATAAAATAAATAATTTCTGTCGATTTTTTTAAGTTGCAGCTATGGTATTTTATAATGAAGAAATTAAAACCCAAGGTATAATTTAAAATAATTTATTATTATGTATGCATGTATTCTTGTTATTCTTGTATGTGGTTTAATGAAGTTTTATCAAAGTTCATCAATGTTTTTGGATTTTATTACTTATTTATGTATATTCCCTACTGTACTCTCCCATTCATCTCTTTTTCGATTTTAATACCTTCTTATTTTATAATGGCAACTATCAGGTATCTAAAAAGGTGTTGAAGGACACTTTGAAGGTAGACTTCAGTCAAGAGACTTCAGTATCAAGGTTTGTAGATATAGATTTTGCATAACAAATCGGAGTTTATTTTTTATTGATTTCTTCCATTCAATTGTTTTGCTTTATTCCGTTTAAATCCGAAGCCTCCAGACGAAGTAATTTTATTTAAAAATTAAATATTAAAGTATTGATTTACTACTTAAATATGGATATAAAAATTACGTTTTAAGACTGTTATCATTTATCCTTATCATTTTGTCTACATTTTGTAGGTTGACATGATCTTTTTTTTTTTATTATTATCAAGTCCACTGTTATTAATTACTATTAAAATCGGGAGTACTGAATCCGTCCCACCAAAATCACCAGGATGCAATTGGTCAAGTCTGTGCATAAACGAGTTAATAAGTTAAAATTAAGTTAAACAGTTAAGTTAATTTAACTTTTTAACTTAATAAATAAATTTGTTTTTAACTGTTAACTTAATTGTTATCTTGGGGAATACAAAAGAATTAAATAGAGTTAATTTTATATTCAAACAAATTAATTTCAATTTTTATTTGCATGCTCATATAAATAAACATATTATTGTTATTATTATTATCAATATATTATGAATATTTTGCAATACAAATTTTTATGAACACCTGTTATTTTTTACTATTATCGCTAATTGGGGGTTGTAGGTAGATAATTATTAGGCCATTATTGTAGGTAATAGACAATATGTACATTTTTTTTTAATTAACTTATTTAAATTTAAATTTAACTTAACTTAACTCAGTTGAAAAAAATCATTAACTTGCCCAGCTTTGTATTTAGTTATATTCGTCACAACACGCCTAATAATTTAATTATAATGTTATATAACATATAGTTTATACTTTTTTATACTATAATAGATCTCTAATTATTTAATAATATATGTATTCAATTTTTTTTTTTTTTTATAAAATCTTTTTCATAGATGACTGTGGATATTTATCATTATAAACATTAAATGTGTAACTGGCTGAAGTTAGTAAAATTAGTGTATGAATGTATGATTGTTGATTGAGCTAAGTTAAGACGCATAATTTAACAAGATTTTCAATAACATTTCTGTGTTAAGATGTAAATAACGTCATGATAAATATTTTTAGAACAAAAGTTTGTTGGTACAAATGTCTGGTGGAACAAAATGCAACATTTTTCCGTTGCAACGATAATATAATATTATTTAAGTATATAAAATATAAAATTGTAACAGGCAATCCTCAAAGTTGGCGTGCGCCAATTTTTAAGCGTATTACAGTAATAGATAATATTGTGTAATTCGGCACAGTTTAACGAATTTGTTTTTAATAAATTGTATATAAATTAATATAAAACCAAAACGCACCTATTGTTCAAGAAATTGAAAAATTTTAAACCGTCCATCATTTATTTGCTTTTTTAATCTATTTGTATGATTAAATATTTGTTTTTTTTATGTCCTCCCCCCGTTATTAATTTCTAAATACGCCCTTGACAACTCTACCGGTGTCTTCTGCCACTCTGAAGTAAATAACCTACTTACGTTAATCTACTTCTGAGGTATGCTTAATTAAAACTATTTATCATTTATTAAAATCAATTTGACTTTATGTTGTGGTTTATGTCATCAAGAAAAACTGAATGGCCTGGCTATGCTATCAATAAACGAAAATTATTCAATTACCCTCGATGAAGTTCTGGTTGAATTATCCAATAATAAAAAAAAAAAAAGGAATGCATTTTTTGTTATAAATATTTACCTAAGTGCATGTACTTGTATAGTATTAATAATATAACAATAATAATTAACTACCACGAACTTTGCAATAGGTTTTTTATTTGTTTTATTAATTATTAATACCTATATATTGTGTTTGGTTATTAGAAAAAAAAATTTTTCCTAATTTTTCTGAAAAATTGTAGTTATAAAAGGGAAGTTTTTGTGTGTATGCCATTGGCCTCTATCCTTATTGAATATTTTTGAATATCAAAATTCATAGTAATGAGGTCGTTTATAAACCATAGCACGAAGAAAACAAATGATAATAATAAATGTTTCGCAATATCTTCAGTGCAGTCGTGTAATATACGCCACAATCCCTGTAAAACCCATTTAAAATTATTGCTCTGCGATAGAAATCGGCGCAGTTTGTAAAGTTTTAAATTTTATTTCGAGTGTACGTACATATAAAATTATATAAGTATATAGGTATACTGTAGTGATCAATATATTTGATTATCATCTTAACATACACACGTGGTAATTGTATGAAATGTATTATCTTTATTATTGCTAGTTTTTTTTATCTTTATTTTTATGGTTTTTAGTAATTTGACCTAAAATAATACCCATAGTATAAAAATGTCACCCGATGACAATTATTTTTCGACTCGTTTAAAACTGCACTAAAATATGTAAACGGATGATATTTGTATTCAATATCATAAGATGCAAGCAATAGTTTAAATTAATTTTATTTCTGCTTTTCTATTCATTATGAACCCCCAACTTTTTTTTTTTTTTTGAATACCGATTTGAATAAAGAATATTTTTCTAGAAACATTGATATGCATAACACAAATATTACAATAATCAGATTTACCGTTTATGAGTTGTAAGTTTTGTAACAATTTAAAATAATGACCGGGGGAGTAAGAGAGTTAATAAATTGCATATATGTTTTTCAATAAATAATGTATAACTCTTTCCTTCTCCTCGGTCTAAATTTTAAGCGGCCATAACTCATAAACGGTAAATCTAATATTAGTGTCATGCATTCCAACATTTCTAGAGAAATATCTAAACTCTACTCGAATTTTTTTTCACAAAGAGAGATCCCTATTTGAAAAGCAAAAGTGTGTAAGTAAAAAGTTAAAATAGTCTTAAAATAAAGTTTAAACGATTCCACAATGATCAGAAAAAGCAAAAATCAAATTAACTTAAAATCCTCCGAGATAATAGCTGGTTCATGATAAAAAGAAATCACTTTATATACAGTTGTATAATGTATTATAAACTCCGTTCCAGCTTTCAACATAGAGTCCCTAACGAGAACACTAGCGGACTTATTAGTAAAACTTCCATAGTACGAAATTCTGGGTCCTATTTCATTGTACAACGTATTAACAGATTTTATCGTTATTCAAGGCTACACTGTGTAGGATGATTCACTAAGTGTGTTCACCCCATTTTTTCTGTAAAAATAAATGCAAATATTGCATTTATTAAAATTCTGATTTTTGAAATGTTTAAGTGTAATTAAAGTAAATATTTTCGAACAATTAGATTTTTCACAACGTTTAAGGAGTATCTTGTGGCGATACCAACTTTGGTTTTTGGGGAAAGTGGCGATGGGTACGCCACTTAAGTTATGTTCCCATAAGTTAAACTCCAATTTTCAAAATTCGAATTTCTATAAACTGCGTAACACACCTGTTTAGTGAAAACGTTCGGGTGGCCCCATTCGAATGTTAACAATTATTTACGAATTTGAAAAACTGACTGATGTTACAGATCGTCCTCACGCAAGATTGAACGGTAAAAATTCAATTACATTAGATCTAACCGATATGCGTAGATTTATTCCACATACTGTTTTTAGTACTTTCCGGTTTGTTTATCACACGGCTAATATATCATTATAAAAAACCAATTGCTATAGGTAATGGATTCGTTTGGATACAAACGTATTAACGTACAGCATTTGGTCGTGTTTGCGAGAACCGGTGTACTTTTAAGTTGAATACGGTATGTTCTTAATAGTATACGTTTACATACCGATAAATTACACATATTTACTATAATATCGTTGCTAAACTAGGGTCATTTGGACATTGCATTATAATACGCAGCTTATAAACACGTAACGCCTATTTATTTTCGTATGTTGGCTAGTACACGAGCGCGATGTTTCCGGGGGCCAAATATATAATTGTTGTTTTATCAGAAATTCGTTTTCGTTTTACCTATAGCCTGTTCGGCCATGTTTTTGTTTTTGGCTTCGATCTTCGAAGCGGCCTTGATGTTGCTGGAACCGGCCTACAGGACTTATAAATATCTAAGGACCACTGAAACGACGTCCCAAGACGAAGAATATCAGGACGATGAGGAGGAGAGCCGGGAGCTGTTCACGCACTGGGTCGTGTACGCCGCCGTCCGAATGGTCGACTGCGCGCTCTGTTCCTGGATGCCCCTGTTCGGATTGACTAAAATCGCGGGAATCGTGTGGCTGCGTGCCGGCGGCATCCAGAAGTGTTATCAGGCGTTTGTCGGGCCGTTTTTAGACGACAACCAGCTGGTCATCGACGATTGGTTGGAACGGTACGACCAGGTCAAGAACTCGATGGTCAACACGACCACGGCTCTGACATCGGCCGCAACCGACATGGCCGCTGGCGCGGTCGCCGGTGTCACTGTTCCCGCTCCGCAGTCACCACCGCGGACACCCGTGTCGTCGTCGCCACCGAGGACGCCCGAGGAAGGCGTGCACGTCACCTGATTATCGTATACAATTATATTGCTAAAATATCTGTACTCACCGTATAATAAATATAATAAAAAGTCTCGCATTCGAATGTTTTATCATGATTCGATTAACAATCAATCGTTTTTTGGATCTTATAATCCATAATATACAGGCGCCTGATTCACACGGTCAAATGTTTGACGGTAAATATTTCAAAGTTTGAATATTATGTTATTAGGTCGTTTTACTCGTTTTAAAACCGCGTATTCCTGAAATATTTGATGTATTTGTCAAACACGTCGACGGCTAAGGATTGCCTACTGGATATACAAACGATTGCAAAATTTGTAACATTTGACTTTATAAGTACGTACGTTAAATATTTGACCATATCAACGGGGCATAAAGTGTTGTGCAACAGTTTTTTTTAGATTCTGAGGGTAGCGAGAAATCGTTTACGTTTTGGTTTTACTATGTTGTGTGTAATTTGTATTTTTTTTTTTATTTTTTGTTTTAACAATTTTTCTTCCAGAAATCTTACTCCGATTAAAAAATAACGAGGAAACTTTTTTGTAGAATTTTTAAATCAAATTAGGACAATGGGGACGAAGTATAGTTTTGTATGTTCTTGGGTCACATTTCCGCATTTTTTTTCACCTTTCAACCGCCTGTGCTCCACGTAAGTGATGTATTTTACCACCACTCCCTTAGACGGGCCCCTGCTCACACAGCCAGCCATCCCTTCTCTCCATCCCGTTCACCAATTGAATTACGTATTATACTCCGCCCTCTCCTACAACCTTTCTTTTAAACCCCAATTATCAGTTCTTATCAACATAGATATGCTATCAATATAGATCGCCATCATACTTTAGACGAGCCATTCATCTCAGGAATATTTGTTAGAAAGATTCATATTCTGCCTGAAATGGGATGTAAGAATGTTTAAGCTCCAGGGTAGCCCTTTAAATAAATCCGTAGTTTTCATAGGAAAGAAAAACTTTGCAAAAGGTCAAGTATATATTATCCAAATTCGGTATTACACTTTGTGATTTAGAACCAAATAAATTACTTATCCGACTACATGATGAAAAGGCATTTTGATAAATGTGAAGATTAAGACAATTGTCTCAAGTCAAAATCAGTATTTCTATTCAAGTATGTAGTACTGTAGCTTTGATTATCAGCTAAGAAGCATGAAATGTTGACTCTCAGAATAAAACACCTGTATCATTAATAAATTCCGTTTGATTTTAAAGAGTTCAACAAATACACAGTGCAAGTCTATAAAATTTAAAAATGTTCGTACAACAAATCAAGGTATATTTTCTTTAAAAATAATTTATGAAAAATAAGTGAACATCAAAACTAATAACCAAAACAGCGAAACGTGTTCATAAGAATATGAATCTTTCTAATAATTCTTCCTGTGATGAATGGCTAGTCAAAAGTATGATGTCGATCTATATTTATAACATACCTATGTTTATAAGAACTAATAAAACTGATGGAGTTTATAAGAAAGGTTGTAGGAGAGGGCGGCGTATAATACGTAATTCACTTGGTGAACGGGGTGGAGAGAAGGGATGGCTGGCTGTGTGAGCAGGGGCCCGTCTAAGGGAGTGGTAGTGAAATACATCACTTACGTGGAGGACGGGCAGTAGAAAGGTGAAAAAAAATACGGAAATGTGACTCAAAAACATACAAAACTATACTTCGTCCCCATTGTCCTAATTTGATTTAAAAATTCTACAAAAAAGTTTCCTCGTTATTTTTTAATCAGAGTAAGATTTCTGGAAGAAAAATTGTTAAAACAAAAAATAAAACTGGATATATAAATCCAGTAGGCAATCCTTAGCCGTCGACGTGTTTGACAAATACATCAAATATTTCAGGAATACGCGGTTTTAAAACAAGTAAAACGACCTAATAAAATAATATTCAAACTTTGAAATATTTACCGTCAAACATTTGACCGTGTGAATCAGGTTTATCACCTTTATATTATAGGTGAATCGCCTTTATATTATGGATATTAAGATCCAAAGAACGATTGATTGTTAATCGAATCATGATAAAACATTCGAATGCGAGACTTTTTATTATATTTATTATACGGTAGGTACAGATAATTTTGCAAAATAAAAGTATACGATAATCAGGTGACGCGCATGCCTTCCTCGGGCGTCAGCGGTGGCGACGACGACACGAGCGTCCGTAGTGACGACGCCGACACGGGTGTCCGCGGTAACGACACCGACACGGGTGTCCGCGGTAACGACACCGACACGGGTGTCCGCGGTGGCGACAGTTGCACGGTGATCCGCGGGAGTGACTGCGGAGCGGGAACAGTGACACCGGCGACCGCACCAGCGGCCATGTCGGTTGCGGCCGATGTCAGAGCCGAGGTCGCGTTGACCATCGAGTTCTTGGCCTGGTCATACCGTTCCAACAGGTCATCGATGGCCAGCTGATTGTCGTCTAAAAACGGCCCGACAAACGCCTGATAACACTTCTGGATGCCGCCGGCACGCAGCCACACGATCCCCGCGATTTTAGCCAATCCGAACAGAGGCATCCAGGGACAGAGCGCGCAGTCAACTATTCGGACGGCGGCGTACACGACCCAGTGCGTGAACAGCTTTCGGCCCTCCTCGTCATCGTCGTGATGTTCCTCGCCTTCGGACGTCGGCCTAGTGGTCCTTAGGTGTTTATAAGTCCTGTAAGCCGGTTCCAGCAACATCAAGGCCGCTTCGAAAATCGAAGCTAAAAATAAAAACATGGCCGAACAGGCTATAGGTAAAACGAAAACGAATTTCCGATAAAACAACAATTATATATTTGTTGGCCCACGGAAACTCCGCCCGTCATCGAAACATCGCGCCCGTGTACTAGCCAGCATACGAAAAGACGTCACGTGTTTATAGGCTACTTATTTTAATATTATAACGTTTAAATGACCTTAGTTAGGAACGATATTATAGTAAATATGTAAATGTATAGTTAAAAATATACTGTATTCATCTTGAAAGTACACACGACTGATTGCTGTGCGTTAATTTAATATCCAAATGAATTCATTGCCTACGTCCAATAGCAATTTTTTTTTTTACAATAACTAATTAGCCGTATGATAATACAAACGGGAAAGCACTATAAATAATTTATAGTATTTAAGTATGAAATACTTCTACCCATATCGTACACCAATTAGACGGAATTACCTTTCGGAAATGGTACTACACTTGTTACTTCGAAGCAAATTTTCTGAACAAAAAAAAAGTGGCTCGCAGACAAAAAAAAAACAAAAAGTTGCGAATCTAAAGTCACGCGGGTGTCGGGAGGAGGTCTATTTTGTACGCCACACGAATGTAGTTCGCATACGACATAAATTGGACATTTTTCGTATGAAGTTCCAATTCGGTAACTACTTTTGTATAAAAAAACTAATCGTAGGTACGATTGAATTACGTTCATAAATTTAACCTATAGTTCACGAAAATGGTATTTTTCGCATTGTCCGTACGAAATTAACATTAGTTATATTTTGTAACTATATTCGTACGACGAAATCACTCGTATTTTCGACTGGTTGTAGTATGATTGCAACGCATAGGGGGTAGTAGGGTATATGAAAGCCAATTTTCGTATACTAATTTTAAATTTAATTATATTTTTCTTTTAAAGGCAAATAAAACCAAGCTAATAAAACATAATCACATAGATCAATAGAATAACACAAGTACGACTGTACTGGAAATAGATAACTATTACAATATAATATTAATTATCATTACGCATCAAACTTGTTATATTTTAACCATAAATGGAATATCGCGTTATAGCAGTTAAAGCAGTATATAAAGCAGTTATACTATAGTAATCAATCCCAATAATATGATAATTACACAATTTTGGAATCCCATACGAAATTATAATTTCAAAATTCAACTATAATTAGTACTTTGTATATGTTTCCACTATCGCTGTCAGATGAAAATGTAAATATATTTGTTTACGATTTGATGTAGGTAGGAGGTACCTATTTATTTTATTATTATTTAATAAACATAATATTATTTTTAGAAATTTAAATATAAATAATACAATATTTGTTATGTGTTGAAACAAAATGAATTAGTTTTCCTACAATAAGTTAGAAAGGTACGATGAGGGGTTACGTGTGTGTATTTTAAAATATTGTTCGGGCATGTTCAAAATTAAAATACCGATGAATAGCATCATATTATAACGACGTCATACAAAAAATAAATAGGAATTATTATTATTAACGTTTGGAAACTTCTTTCTAGGGCGGATTTATCGGCTGGGGTCGGCATCGAAACGAGAATTTTATTAAGGACTAGGAGATCATGAGGTTCTGTGTGCGCTGCGACGGCGACGGTT